GCTGTCGACACATCAAAAAAGTATAACTGCTCAAAGGTCAACAACTAAGCGTTATTGAACTCTTATCACAAATGCAGTAAGTACCTCATAGTGTAATATCATAAAACTAAACAATCCCAAAAAAACCTTTAAATTTATTGATTTCTTTAGAGGCCTACAAAAAATTTACACACTAAAAAAAAGTGAAACATATAATTTTGAAGTAGCAGAAACACCATATAAAATCCCACCTGTGGAATTTTATCCTTTCGAATTAAGAAGGAACTCAAGCCAAGAATTCCACCTAAAGGCTTGTCGTAAGTTAGACCTGCATAAAGAGCAAGCGCTCCACCCATCGAAAAGCCACCAATAACAATTCTTTCTGAAGGAATACCAGACCTTATTTCCTTAAAAATATCCTTTAAAGCTTCATTTTTTATAATAAAATAATATTGCACTAGAAAGTCAGAAAAAAACTATGAACTAATGGACTGCCGAAACTCTTTACTCCTAACTAAAAACATTCTTTCCACTCCCTACGTTAACTAATACACATAATTTTACACAGAGACTATGTATATTCTACTTATTATTATTACTTTTCCAGCTACCTGTGCATACTAAACTTCCCAAATCCCACTTCACTTTGAAATTTAAAAAAAAAATGTTTCCTTCTAATATCTCTGGTAAAAATTACGCCAGTCTTAGAAAACTATTATCATTCGTCGACCTCTTTGAAGCCCACAAAAGGCTATGCTCAACATGTAATTTAAGAAATATCGAAACCATGCGGGCATGTTGAACAATGAAAACAAATGCGCAAGTAGTGGAAAAAAAAGCAAATCTAGGAGACGCCTTCAGATATCTTTCTAAAGAGTCGAATGATGCAGCTAGAAAAAGTAAAAAATTCAACAAAATAATAATTATCGAAAGAAAAAAATGGTTGAAATGAGAGGTCAATCGTTTGCTTAAAATTTCTTAGTTCTCAGTAGTCTGATTTTGCAAAAAATGTATAATTATTCTGCCATCCCACCGAATAAAAGAATTTTGGAATCAAAAACTAACAGAAACTATTCAAATAACATCACTTGACAGAACAAAAATACAAAGTTACAAGCCCAGCTATAGAACGGAGATAACTCTGGATGGAGCAGAGAATTTCAGACCAAAGTAGGACTACACTTTATTACCCTTAATGCCGTACTTTGAACCAGTAATTGAGCATATTTAACTTAAGACTTCAACAATAAAATTAATTTGACGTTTGACTGTGTAAAACGGTCCTATCACTAAAAACCACATAAATAACACCAAACTATTAAAGAGCCACTCAACACCTTGACTGAGCAACTGAAAGTTCTTCTTAGAGCCTGCTCTCCTAGACAGAATAACAAAGAAACTGATTTATCATATGATTTTCAATGTTGTTCTCTAAAAACCCTGTAGAACGTAGATAACCGCACTACTTCTCTCAGGACACAAAATTACTCTGAATTACACGTATTCCTGAATTTTTGAACACAACATATGAAAGAAAATTTTATGTCACAATATGAAATGAAAATGGACAATAAATGCACTTACAGCATCAATCATAGAATGAAGTATTTTCGCCGATTCTTCGATACCGTCAACATCTTCTTTTGAATCTGGAGTTAAGCCAAACAAGTCATACCACGCAGGCATATGCATCCCCATGTTTATAGTTACTGCCCTTGTTGGTCTTAACAATTTCAAAATGTTTGAAGAATATCCAGCATAAAACATGTGCCATGCACATTAAAGCAACTTTAAAAAAGAACACAAATGCATTGAAATGTTGACTCGTTTAACAGAAAAAGTGTTTATTTCACAAGTCTTAAAAAAGAAATAAGGTGTGATGAATTTAATGAACCGATAACCCTAAGTAATAACTAACCAAATTTCTAAATACACTTCGTATTTAAATACCACTTTCCTAAAGTGACGATTACATGGATAAAAAAATTAGTGGGGAATAAAAGTATGCAAGTGATGTTCTATTGAGAATAAAATTTTTGAACACCGTATGGGCCATAAAGAGTAGAAATAAAACCTTAAACAAATGGTTAACAATCATCTCGCCTTAAAAATATCCTAATTTGCACATTTCTACCGGACAACATTAACTGGGTGATTTAAAAATTCAAGTCAACAAGAGCAATTTTAGAAATTGACTATTTAACTTACGCGTGCGGACAGATATATTTTATGTGTGATTCTCTGATCTCGTCTCTGAACATCGAGGCCCACCCATGTCCAGTATCTCCTAGACCATGCAAAAATATAACCTGAAATTTCCCAGTGAAAAAAACCTCAAAAAACTATATTTATATGATACATTTTCAACAGAAAGCACCATACCTAAAATTGCTCATTATAACCCAAATTAAAATTTAAAAACTCGATTTTGAATGTTAAACTGGATCTACGCTGGTGTACTGAAAGGAACTAGTAAGAAATTCGCCAAAAATAACTATTCCAAGGCTTCTTACAAGACTTTAAGATTCACTAATGACCCTGAAATGTAAGCAAGGAAGGTCACGCTTCAGTCTTCAAGCCACTAAAATGAACCCAACCAGAATTCCTTTTCACAAGCAAATACATATTTAACTTCTAAATGGTTCCTCCTCAACCGACACAAAGTCTGAATACTAGTTTAAGAAAGGAAAACCTAAAAGTGAACGTAAATAAAATATTTAACAGATAATATCATTCCAATCCCCATAAGCACATACAGTGGCACTATGAGTCGCTGTTGCGGGTATAACTACAGGTCCATCCATACTAGTGAACGCTTTCTTGCAACTGCTTGAACCTGGAAGACAAAAATGTGCGATGCTAAGGAGAAAACCGCTCGAAAAAGGCGATGCTGAACGAAAAGCCCGAGATAACATTGATAGAGCCACAGTTAACTATTCTAACACAAGTTCAACCAGTCCGCTCTTAACCAACCAGTGTTTGTTTCAATGCGCTGAAAAAACTAGCATGCAGAAACACGCATCCCTTTACTGTAAAGCATCACGAATAAACTAATCATTGAAATCAAATTCACCAACCAAAAAAGTTTATTCACTTCATTAATAAATCAGCAGTTGCTAACACACCTCACCACACAAAAAAATTAAAGAAACTCGTATCAGAATAAAGCAAAAATTCATAAACATTCACAGCAAAAACAAGCCCTAATAGAAATAAAATGTGAGTTTTGAGTAACTTTGCTGAAAGTGTAACATTAACTTTTCCTTTCCTTTGAAGCACCATAGATCTGTGCATCAATGAGATGATATGTTCAGCTTGCTTTCTTCAATTCGCTCATAATCTTCCTACCAGGTAAGTCAGTGTAGAATTAATCCATGCAGTTCTTAACAGTTCTGATACTGTTTCACCAGCACTAATGACTGCTACAGTAAAGCACTCTTTTTCCAGATAAATCTTTTCTCAAGTTTGAAATTTCGTTTTTTTTTTTTTTTTTTTTTTTTTTTTTTTTT